GTACTTAGGCCACGCAATTCGTTGTAATTTTTTTGAAAATTTTAGTTTTGTAACTATGTCGACCGAACGACTAAAAAGATTACTTTAAAAATTTAATAAATAATAACGGGCGATAAGACGTAAGAAACTACCGCAATTTATCGTAATTGTAAGCCAAGTAATAACTTTTCTAGAATTTTTCCCCGCCAGCGCCAGGAGGACCTTTTCTCTAACCGGGGCTCCGAGACATCCTCCCCGAAAAAATTTTCGTTGGGGTGGGATCCCGGATCCAGCGGCTGCGGAAAATAGGAAATTAAGAACGGACGCCAGTTAAACGAAAACGATAGATTTTTGGGAATGCGTAGAGTTATCGACGGAATATGTAGCCACTCGAGTATTCGGCTAAACTACAGTTGGACACTTTGAACTACCATCGAGTTTGCTGCAATAGTTAACTTTAGACTGCTGGCAGCCACTTAATTGTTTATTTGGGCATTGTCGTTGCATTTACACCAACTTCTTGTTAAGGATAACATCCTTTTAATAAACTCTATTGTAATATATGAGCCCAATTGTACAGCAGACGTCTGCTCGACCTTTAGTTGTTAAGTTCAATTCGATCGTGACTTCGACTTATCATTTTATTGTTTGTATTTAATCTACTGTGACTTATATATTTGTTATCATACGTTAACGCTACTACTTTAGTTTTAATTGTTTTTACAATCCACCGTTCTATCAAACTCGTACCGTTTATTATCTTCTGTTTTGTTATAATTCGTTCTTGTACTATTATACCCGATAATGCATCCAGCGGGATGGGGTTATGTACTTTTGTACCCCTAAATAAATGATCGCTCGATTGATTTTTGGGATGCGGGTCCGAACGGCGGCAATTTCCCACCGCCAGGCGCGGGATGACTTTATCCACTCGGCAACGGGAAAGTGGATAAAACCACTGTTGGCGGACGGAGGAAACTTCGAACTTTACCTCGGCCATCGCTTTCTATCGGCGGAGATAACGAACGGCGCTCCGATCTTATCCGCCGCCCCGATAAGCGGCAACGTGACCGACCACGGATAAAGGAAATCTGCAAAAATGACAATAATGTCGCCACCGACGTGTCCGTTTGCGCCAAAGCCTTCGTTCCCTTTTCCCGTCTTTCGGACTAAAAACTTACAACTAGCGCCGCGGTCATTAGCGACGTCGGAGACTGGTAATTTTAAATGTCCGTTTCAAACGGAATACTTTTGTGTCCATTGTCACTCGTTTAAACTTTCACCGCCAACCTAACCGTCCATTCGATAAAATGAAGCTCGGCTATCTCCGTTTTATCCTTATCGGCTTTACGTCGTAATAATTAGTCACGCTATTTTTATTTAGGTTTTTATCTTCCTAGGAATATAATTTTTCCAACCGAACCGCTTTTCTGGTTTCGAACACGATTCCAAGCCGTAAAGTTAGATTTTGTACGGACCGGACCGAGTGCCGGAAATAAATCGGGTTTTATGAAATCCGTTCAACGTCTTTCGAGAAGCCAAATCGGGCCCGCTGGCGCTCCGGTGGTCGTCGGTACCGCGGTAATTCTTTCGGCTTTTCGCTAGCCCGTGACGCCGGGGAAGAAACAGCCTCCAAAGAGAAAAGGTTTAACGCCGTCTGACGGCGGGAGATGGCATTCCCGAGCCAACTAAATCCTCCCTCCTCGCCGCGTTATTTCCTTGGCCGAAGAATTCGTCCAATGCTACTTTGAATTTAAAGATAGGTAACCCGGGGACGTAACTCTATTCCAAGTACTTTCGCCTACTTTATTTAAGACTTGGTCGATTATATCCGAAATGCCGATTTCGCTTTGCACCGGGCCGCCACCTAATTCCCGCTTAAAACGCTCTGTTAACTCGTCGGAACGGCCATTTCTTGACGTAGACGGAGAGAGAAAATACAGGACGGCAGCCACGAATAAAGCCCGATCGATCCGCCGCCGGGAAGGGTTTTTGACTAAAATCAACCGCGCTCTGTTTTTGCGTTTTTCCCATAAACGGACGCAAAGTCGTAGTAGTGTTGCCAACTGGCCGTTAGCGACCGTCTGATTGGAACGATGCTTAGGCCGCGTTTCTTTACGCAGCGAACACTGGGAAACCCGTTTCTAAACGTCCGCTACACGCTGGCGCGTATAATACATTACGCTGTAAATATAAAAATATTATGGAAAGATTAAGGCGGATTGAATTTTATAAAATGACTCCGAAAGTTATCTAAAGAAAAGAAAATACTAACTTTTAAATATAATTATATATCTTCCATCTCTTTACTTTGTTGACATTTATGGAAAGACAAATGCTCGATTCTTTACATCCCTTTATTTAAATATCGTGGTTCTTCGACGGCTGCCACTGGAATTAAACGATGGATTTCGCTCCAGCGGAAAGCCTTTCTAAACTACGACGCGGCCATAGATGCTGGTGACGTCATTTTCGCCGCGTAAAGAAACGCGGCCTTACCATCGCCGGCAATCGATTGGCTACGCTTTTCGTTATTTCTTATTCGCTAAGCCAAAAAAATCGTATTTCGCTTTTGCTAGACGAAGTGTGTGCCGACTAAGCATCGGAGTACACCGCTGGCAACTTTCCGAGTCCCAAATAGATATTTCTAACCGGTATAATACGGTTGGGCGATTGCTATCGTCATCGTCCTTCGTTTTCGTTTCAAAGACGACCGCTTCGCGGGCTAAATTGGAGAGTTGCGTCGAGGTTACGAGATAATACCACAGCGTGAGCGCAGTCGGTAGATACACTGGAATTTGAGCTGCCAATAGCTGTAACGCTACGAAAGTGGCCCGATATTTCTGCCACTTGGAGCGCTTCGATCGCTTTGCGGCGTAAGTTTGGCTGGAGCGTAGGAAGATTCGGCTGTAAACATTCGAAAATCTTTGTAAAAATAAAATTTTCTCGTTTTTAACTCCGGGTATTGCTTTTGTTCTTTTTAAAGGGCTGTTTGTAAATATTTTAATTCAATTTTGAACATTATCTATATACAGTATATATAATCGAGATGGGTTGATAATAAGGGCAGATCCCAAACGATTAAAAGTTGAAAGTTGAAATTTAGTACACAGAGTACGTCACGAGAATGTACACTAAGAAGGATTTTTCGAAATTCCCCCGCGGGGGAGAGGGTTGAGGATTACACCCGAAGAACTCGGCTTCTACTGAACTATTTTAGATGCGATTTTTGCGGGAAATCGAACGTACCTATAGACCCATCTAAAAATTTTCTGATTAGCCTGGGAAAAGGCGACACCTAATTCTTCACCCGATGAAAACGAGGAAGATCGGCTATATAACTGTAAAAGTTATCTTAGGTGAGTTTATCGCACCGAATGAACAATCTAACACATTTTTAAAATTCTTTATTTCTCTGCTGTACACAATTTAAAAATTTTGTAAATGTGTTAGATTGGGCACTCGGTGCGATAAACCCTTACGTAAGATAACCTTTGTAAATAGAAATCAAATTCTGTATTATAATATAATACGGTAGAAGAGTTAAAAGTACGACGTAATCTAATAATCTTTGCCGTTTTGTTATTTTTTGCCCGAACAACGCCGGGCTCATCCGCTAGTTCATATATAAATGTGGCTAATATCACAGAATTCTATTAACTGTCATTTTCATTATTTTAGAGTTTTAATTGATTCGACGATTTGCGTTCATTTTCGTAATGGGTAAGAAAAGATAGTGAAAAAAGTTATAGTTAGACCCATTTATACATTATTAAATTAATATGGAATGTTCTCAGTGAAATCTTAAGTCAGGAAGAAAAGGGGTTGATGAGAGTTCTACACATTTCCATAATTAAGTTTATGTAAAATGTTAACGCAAATATAGGATTAGTTAAAGTGTTACATAAAGGAAATTTAAAGTGGATTTTGGAGCGAGTCAACTTTAGGCTCGTATTGGCCCACCAGTGGCCGAGCGGTCTTCGTTCCCTGAACACTTTTTTTAAAACTCTTTTCGCCCTGTGGGCCCTAAAAGGGCCTCTTTTTGCAAGCCCATTATGGGTTCGGCCAGGCCCACAGCGGGGCTGCCGGGTGGTGAGGGACGGGGCCCGACATATCCGAACGGATCAACCCCGAAATATTCCTGGGGATTTTTCGACCCGTTCGGATTCGACCCGCGTCCCCCAGAGCGGTAAGCTGCCACCTCGACAGCTCGGCCATCTGGCCGCTGTTCCCCGAACACTGGCAGCCGATTGCGGAGACAACGTTTAGAGACCGACGGCGGTTTACAGATCGGGTAGACCGCTTTTAAGAAAAAGTTCATTGCAGAGACGGCGTTTCTCGCCCGCCACAACGTACACAGCGATTAGAAACAAGTTACTCGACCTATTTTCTAGACTCACTCGAGAGAGGGTTTAGAGGGCTTTTTGATTCGAGTGGTAGCTTTGTTCGTGGAAATGTTTAGATAAAAACGGATATCGTTCCTTCGATAAATGATTGTACCTATTGCAACAAAAAACTAAGTGAAGTGGTGTTTGGTCCTCCCGAATACCGCATTCGCATTGCGGATTGTCCCCGAGGTTAAGCGCGTAAGGGTTAGAGTTGCCGCGGCCGGTAATCGAACGAAGGTATAATTGCGGTAAAGATGGCGAAGAATCGCGATTGTCTCAACCTTGGGACGAAGGTGTGGGCGAGCCTACTCGTAGTGTCGTGGTCCCAGCTGTTTTGCCAGAGAATGAAAATTTACTTCTTGACACGATTGTTAATGTAAGAGGTAGGAATGTAGCCAAAAGTACTAGTGACTGAAGGCTTTGCGGCTCGTTTGGCAAGACGGTCGGCGGTCTGGTTGCCGACAACTCCCGCGTAACCCGGGACCCATTGGAAGTCTACTCTATGTTACTAAAATACGCTTCTTGTCTAGCTCGGAATATACTTTTGAGTACTACGTCGGCCTCTTTATTCCTAGACACAAGATGAGCTTTAAAACATCAATTTATTTTCCAAAAAGATACGCATTTCGGACCTATAGTCCCTGGTCATCTTCTTTACAACTGTTTTAGCAATAAGACACGTATGTTAAATTGTATTTGCATTATAAATTTAGGTCAAACGTAATTTGTATTTCCACGAAATCGACGCTTGTACAGTACAGCTCCGAAATATACAGTACAATGATACCTCGACATTTGGCAAACTATCGATTACAGATGCCGCCATTAGATATTTACTATAATATTAACAAGATATTAACAGTTTGAATATCCAAATAACATAAAGTTGTAAACTTACATTAATTGTATTGTTCTAAACGTCGTATCGGCGCGTTTAAAACAAAGAACACGCAAAGTTACGGGTCGGCCAACCGTTATAACTATTACGAATAAAAGACACCGTTAAAATAATAAAATGATACACCGTACTTTTAGCAACTTATTAATTAATAACGTCTCTACTCACTACAGCCAAATTAGCGCCACCTCCCGTTTTTCTTTTATTTATACACTCCCCTCTCTCGTCAGATACACGTACAACGGTTCGTACAAATTTTGGCCGAATTTTTTATTCATAATTTTTTCTAAACGCTCTTTTATACGAAGCCTATTTGCTTTTTTTAACTGTTTTAACCGCGTCTTTTATTATTTGACAACCTTCTTTGTTACGGCCGAATTAATATTATTATTGTTTATGGCAGATACACGTTCTTCGAAACGAATCCTTTCGAAAATATTCATTTCATATTTAATTGTAAAAAATTTATGCGGCATGGTCTATTGGCGTATATATTTGCTACTTGCTTAGATTCGAGTGTGCGGAAATTGTCACAAGAGCGCAGCGGGTCAACCAGTTGCCGCGCGTTTAATTGTACGGCTAGATATAACAAAGGCTCCGGTATCGCCCGTAAGTCGCTCCGATGCTATATCGTCGGTTGGCCATCAAAATCTCGCAACTCCTTCCGAAGAAACATTAAAGTCGCTTCAGGAAGTCCGTTATTGCCCTAGGTCGATTGTTTTCTTATTTACGTATCGAACTAGGTTGGACTCGGAAGCTACGAGTTTTACGGACGACCGAAAACGTGTTTCGTCATCCACTAATGCCGCGATTCGAATCTGAGCAATTATTGAAGTTACCACGGTCAAACGACGGATGTTTTGTCGACGGCTTTTCCGAAAATGAGCGCTACTTCCACGCCGCGACAAATTCCAACCCAACCGTTTTAATCGTGCAGAATGGATACATCTATTCGCGCGAAACGTGGCTTTGAATTGTTTCGAACAGCTACGGACACAGCCAACAGCGCCGCCGAATCGAACGTCTTTGGCTAACGTACGAGCGAACCGAGTTCCAATGCCCGACCCAAAGCCAACGGACACAAAACTCGTTCATTTTGAAGGCAATAAAGTACGTTTATTCACGGGTTACTGGATTTGCAAAATACTATCGTCGTATGTCATCCAGCGCAGGCGTTCCTCCATTTACCACAAAACTTCGGGAACCAATGGCGCTGGTAAGTCGACCAGCGCCCGTACGTATTTATCGCAGTTTGTATTCCTTAATTTACGGGAATAACAATTTACCTATTGTTAATTGAAGACGAGTTTAATATTTTTCAGAGCATCTTGACTATCTGGCCGTCGTTTTAGGCGTAAAGGAAGCTATAACGAAAGGAAACTTCTTCCTTTCAGTATTATTTAGTTGTCCTTTAAAATATCGCCAGGATTTTGCAATAAACTATTAAATCTACTCTAAACGGTTGGCTTAAAATCGTGGCGAAAAAAAATTGTGGAAACGGTGACCAGGGGAATCGACGAATGGTGGCGAATAGTCTATATTAGGAATAAGGGACTAAGTTGGCGGGGATAAATCCCTTAGTAAAAAGTAGGCTTACGAGTGGAGAAAATTTGCCACCGCCGCCACGTAACGATCGTTTTCCGTTCCGCAAACGAAAAAACGGCGAAGGATGCCGAAAGAACCGAAATGTCGTTGACAGACGGGTACGGCACGAAAATCGCGTTAATTAAAGCCTCGAGAACGGGATACAATTTCGGATTATTTTCGTGCGATTTTTCCGTCCGGCAAATTTTTTTCTAAACGCCCGAGTCGTTGGTAGATACTAATTTTACTCGTCTGGTTTTAGTAGACGAAGCGTTTAAAACGGGCGCCTTTGAACTTATATTTCGGGCGCAAACTGGATCGGAGTGGCGGGGAAGAAACAATCCCGAGTTCGGATGGGGTGGAAAGAAGGTAAAAATGGAATTACGTTTCCCGCCGAAAGGAAAGGACGAGAAGCGTGGAAAACGGATAAACGAAAGTTTAATGGACAATGGCAAAAAGCGTACAGAAAACGCGGAGCCGGAGGCGGAAGCTAGGAACCGAGGAAAAGGCGAAAGGGCCTCACAGGCCGTCGGACTGGGCCCGAGACAGGAGGAACTGGCCGACGGCCGGAAGTTCCACCACTCTGGCCACCAGATTCTGCAGTTCGGAGTATTTGTCCAGACATCCGGGTCGACGGTGCTCCAGAGCCGTCAGGGCCAGGGCCGCTCCCAAGTCGCACCAGGTCACCTGTAAAGCCAAAGGACGGGGTGAAAATTCCGCCGGATCGCCCCTTCCGCCGCGGCGCGGTCTTACCTGGTCGGTGACGAAATATCCGGTTCCGCTCTTCTTCAGCAGCGCTTCCAGTCCGTCCAGGTAGGCGGGAGCGTCTTCTTCGATGACGGTCGACAGCTCTGCCAGCTGAAAAGTCACCCGTCTTAAACCCTGGGCCAACCGGCAGCGGCGGCTTCGTCCTCGGACGCTAACGTCTCGACCGCGCGCTTCCGCCAGTTTCCTTTTTTTCCTTCGTCGCGCGGCCCGACGGTTTTTCGGCCGCGGACGAGACGTTAACGGCGGGACACCGAGAAAGAGAGGTGGAAGAAAGAGGAACACTCACGCGTTGTTCTCGGGTCATGCTCTCCACTTCCGGTCTTCTCATGCGAGCGAACATGTCCCACAGAGCGTCCATGACCAGGTCGCACTTGGCCGCGTCCCGGCCGCTCTTCCCGGAAAGACCTGAAAAGAAAAAGAGAAAGGGCGCCGGTCGGTGTCCTCTCCTTCCGCCCTCCTCCGTCGGAGCCGGGAGAGGGCCACTCACCGTGTTCGGCGGCCAGAAAGCGGCAGATGGAGTGATTCTGCGCCACCGCTTCTCCGTCCACCTCCAGAACGGGCAGCGTCCGGAAGGGAGAGGCTGAAAAAGGCCGAAATTAAGCGGGACCCGGGAAAAAGGTCGAAGTCCGCGGCGCGCCCACTCACCCGCCAGGGCCTCTCCGACTCGGGCCCCGTCCAGGCGGACGTCTTCGAATTCGATTCCCTTGTGGGTCAGGATGACTCGGGCCAACTCGGCCGCCGTCGGAAAGGTGTAGTCCACGATCTTGTATCGGGCCATCTGCAAATACAAGCGGCAGCCTGGTACAACGTCGCCGCTTTAATCCCTTCTCCACCCGGCGCTTACCTGCTCCGTCCGCCAAAGGTCCCGGGGAACGAATGCGCGCCGTCGACTAAAAACCCCTCCATATAACCCGCGCCCGCCAATGGCGGCTCCAAACGGTGACGTTTTCCGAAACGCCTCCCGCCCGAAATTTTCTCCGCGTGAGTTTCGGTTCCGCTCCGGCGCCCGCCGCCGCGCGACCCCTCCCGCGTACAGCGGAAATTCTAAAGTTTCGACAGGTGCGGACCACTTCCGGAACTTCTTCTTCCGTTTCTTTCCGGTTTCGGACGACTTTTTACTCCTCGGAAAAAAAAGTGGGAAAGGAGGGAGCGAAAGGGGTCTTTCGTCGTAACGTCGAATATTCGCGTTCTTGGAAAAGGGTCGGCTTCCGGGCGGGCGTCCTTCTCTTTCCGGAAATCGCCGTCTTTACGTTCGGAGAGAAAAAAAGGCCTTCCGACAGAGACGCCGTCGACCGACGTCAGCCTCGACCCGAACGTTTCCGGTCGACCGAGCGGACGGAATGCGGTCGACTCCGACAGAAAAAGATTGTTCGTCGGAGCGAAGCGCGGCGCGTCCGGGAATTTCCCGACGCCGCGCCGAGAGAAAAAGTTTTAAGTTTCGAGGTCGCCCGGCGCTTTCGTTTTCCTCTAATCGGACGGGGGAAAACGTGGCGCGCCTTTACCGCCGCGCCGGAAGAGTCGGGCGGACGACTCGGCCCGAACAGGGAGGGAGGATTCCTCTCACTCGACTCTTTCCCCTTTGGCGGGCGCGACGTTCTCGTTTTAGCAGCGCGACGCGCTCGGCGGCGCGGGATAATCGTCGACGGAGGCCGCGCGAAACGCCACCCGGAAGTCGACGGTCCCGAGGAAGAGGCGCGCCATTCTCACGACGCGTCGGCAGAGGGAAGAAGGGAACGAGCGAGACGAGAGGGGGAAACGTGGGAGATCGAAAAACCCAATTTCCGATCTCGCCGCGCGAAAAGGGGACGCAATTCTCTTCCGACTGGCCCGACGCGCCGGCGGTGACCGGCGGTTTTGGAATCGGGGAGAGCGGGAGGACGGTCGGGGTCGGGTCCGAAGAAACCGGACCGAGAAGGGAGTTTTTCGGGAGAAAGGCTCGACGATTCGCGCAACGAAGCGAGAAAGCGGCGGGAACCGGGCGGAAAGGAACGACGAAAATAAGAAAAGAATTTTCCACGAAATTCGGCAGTTTTTCTCTTCGGGAGTTAACGACCGCGTTAAACTTTGGTAACGACCGATCCGGTTTCGAAACGCTCGAATCGAGGTGCTTCGGCGACGGCGCGCGCACGCGTGGCTTTACGCGTAAATAAGAAGAGGAGGAGAAAAAAGCGCGGACGAACGACTCGTCTTCCGAATTCTTCGCAGCGCGGTAAACCCGACGGAGGGCCGAGTCGTTTATTTCTCGTATCTTCCGGCGTCGAACTTTTACCGAAAAAAAACCGCGGTTTAATTCTTCTTCGGGCGGAGGGGCATTTTCCAGTAAAAGAAAGGGTCCGACTCGGTGGGTCGAGACGATTCTTTTTTTAAATTCCCGGCGCTGTCTTTTCCCACGGTGGTTCGCACCGACGCGCTTTTACGGCGGTTATTGCCGGTCTTATTTATATCTGCCACGTCGGGTAAACCTTTTAATGGCTTTCGTCCCCCGCCGATTAGCCTATTTATTTGACTACGAAACGTAATCGACGCCGGGATGGCTTTCCGTACCAAAGAGCTTAAGGACGCTTCCGGCCGTGTAATGCCGTTTATACTCGGAGTTACGAAATTATTACCGCTAAAACTTGCGCGCGACAATAAAATTACTCTATGTTTAAATGGCGTTTTCCACCGGCCGCGGTGGCGGGTTTAGATCTTTCCTTTTCCGGGCGGAGAACGGCGGTGCCCGCCGCGCCTCGGGTCTCGCTATAGGCGCGTGCCAGGGCCCTTATTCTCGAGTTTTTCCAACGCGTCGAAGGTGTCACGTGGTACCATCTCGCACTCTGACGTAAGATCGGTAGTCTCGAGTTCTATCTCACGCGCTTTCCCATCTCACCACGCGAATCGAGTCGAGCGCGCGAGATCGCTGCACGAAAGTGAAAATGGCTGCCGGATACGCAATTTTTATCGCTATCGAAGAGTTAGAAAGAGCCGAAAGACGTTGTTTGAGAAGGCGACCACGAGTATATGACGTTTCTTTTCGCGTCCAGTCAATACTAATAAAAACATTTTAATTCGTAATTAATAAAATTATACGTAAAATTTTTTCCAAAAATAAAAAGAAGTATCTAATTCATCGAAAAAGAAAATTAAAATGATAGTAAATTATATGTATAAATTATTAAGAGCGTAGACACTATATTAAGATTATTTATTAACCAGAAGGGTTAAGTTCTGATTAATAAGTAATCTTAATAGACAAAACAATTTAAGAAATAGATCGAGAAAGAAACCTATATGAAAAAAGGATTAAATTAAAATACAGTACTTTCTCCATTACACGGCGGACTTTTTAGCTTCGATACACAATTAATTTTTCAAGTAATCCTCTCCACAATCCAATTGTCTTTTTCTTGTAAATTCCTTGTCCAATTTTCCACTATTCGTTTTCTTATTATTTTTTACATATGTTACTAATATTTCCTTTTGTTCTTCGCTTATCTTTTAAAATAAAACATTGCAGGTTTCCATTTTGTTTCTGCGTAGAGGAGAAGGTGGTATTACGGAACCCCATGTTCATTTTAGTGAATTGTAAACACGGTATCATAACTACACCCACATTTTTTTGTGCGAAAAGTACCGGTAACTGTTAAACTAAATGTTCCTAATTGGATTTTTCTCTAGCGTAACTATAAGTATGGTTTTCGAAGGCTTTTTTGTACAAAAAGTCAGAAAGTAGGCTGAGAGAAAACCTGATGGTAATACGGACCTTACCGTATATTTTCAAAAAATGCTTTAATGTAGCCAAAAACAAATAGGAAAGTACAAAGAATGTTAAATACAGTAGAGCATCGATTATCCGACCCCCGATTAACCGACCGTTCTAGTCGGCAAATTCAAATGTCCGCTAGTGATGTGGCGCTACAATATTTGGCTACTTCAATAGTACTTTTACGTGTTTTAGCTGGCAACACTGGCTCGACCATGAAAGGGAGGCCAGTATTTAAACGAGGCTTAATTTTCTAATTTTTAACGATACAATAACGACGATTATTATTTTTTAAAAATTTTTGTTAGGCTTAACATCGATGAAAATTGAACGCGAAGTAGGTTAATAGCGATATACTTATATACTATACTAATAATGTATTTTTTCATATTTTTCGGTTATCCGTTTATTGTTATCCGACCAACCCCAGTCCCCAATCGAGTCGGATAATCGATGCTCTACTGTAATTACAAAATTATTTACTCCGATGCAAAAATGCTTTTATAATAGAAAAATATGACCTCCGTCGATGATATATATTCCAGCAGCTTTTTTTCGATATTCTCAGGAAGAACTGACTTTCTACCTAATGTCTTTTTCACAAATTGCTCCGGACCAATGTCCGCTGGCAAAGAGAGAGTTCGGAGGAGTCGAGTTCCGTATTACCGCAAAAGCACCGACGGGGTCCGTATTTCGCGCATCGCCGTCTCGAATTAACTTACGTCCGTCGAGACCGAAATTTAAAAAACGCCAACATCGCGCGGATGAATACGTACCCCTAAGCCTCTGCCACGGAATACGCGCACCGGCCAACCTACAACCGCGCCATTTATATTTTAAAAATAATTAAATTCGCTTAGCATTCAAAACTTGAGAACTTTGAAAAAAAAAAAAAAAAACAAAGTTGCCGATTAAATACGGACAACCGTTTAACCGAAGCGAAACGGGTTTCTCCCGGCTACGGATGTCTGCCACAGTCCGCTACGGTTCGCCTTTATTATCGTTTCGAAATGAAGTGGTTCCATAATACCCGCAGTGTTCCGTAATACCACCTTTTCCTCTACTATATTGCCATAAGACAACTTTTAACTGTAGCACGTGTAAACTAATTGGCGTTGATTTGTTTACAACTTGTTACAGTTAAGTGGATTGGTCGAATCATTATAGTCGCAAACCCAGATGTATTGTAAATAATTCCATCGCACCCGAGTGAGTATGACGTATTTCCGCTCGCCTTTCGAGTTCGCTAAAAGGGCCGATTGCAGAGACAACGTTTAGAGGCCGACGGCGGTTTACAGATCGGCTAGACCGCTGTTCACAAAAATTTCATTGCAGAGACGGCGTTTCTCGCCCGCCACAATGTAGACAGCGATTAGAAACAAGTTATTTGACCTACTTTCTAGACTCACTCGAGAGCGGGTTTAGAGGGCTTCTCGATTCGAGTGGTAGCTTTGTTCGTGGAAAAGTTTAGATAAAAACGGATATCGTTCCTTTGATAAATGTTGTAAACTGTACGAATCGACAAAATTATTCATTAATTAATTGCTTGGCGCAAAAAGAACAAAATTAAATACAGTCGACCCCCCTATAACGTACGTTCTAATAACGACAATTCCTATAACGTAACGAAAAAATTGTACAAACTCTCGTAAAACATACCTCCCATAACGTCGTTTCGCGACAAGATTGATAGAGTCTGGACCAATAGTGGATGAGCAGCCGAACTACTTTCCTCCGACCCTGCGCCACGCTACGGAGCGGCTAAATTGAGTTTGCTATCGTCTGTTTAGTATTATATATAAATTATATATAAATTAGGTACTGTACATATAATTATATATTAACTTAATTTATTGTANAAATTAAATACTTTAAATTTGTTTTAAATATTCCAATTTCGACATTCAAATGGGTGAAGACTTAAAACTTCAATTAATTTAAATCAGATGCATTTATTTACAATTCGTGTGTCGCGTCGGTTATAAAACGTTAATGCATTTCCGAGTCATTGTACTGTTAAACAAAAGAGACAATTTTAATAATTACAGAAATCTGTTTATAGATATTAAAAAATGTAATATTAATAATAAAATATTTAAAATTATTCATTTCGACAGTAATAAGATGTCGAAATAATTCCTTAAAAATCTATTTCGAATTCGGTATAAATTTTCTAAATATGGATTTGTTGGTATTTTAAATCGTATTGGCGATGAAATTAGATATCGAAATGGAAAAGGATTGTCATTAATTGCCGAACAATGGTTTTGACGGCCTTAAGATTTAATTTCTGGAAGCTTTCGGAATATAGCTGACGACCATTTCTGACGTCACGAAGAAATAACCCGATTGGCCGAACGACTCCGAAAACAGGGGAGTAGTAGCGAAGTACGTAAGAGCCAATGTTTTGCCGAAGTTCGTTTAGAGAACGGTCGGAAATAGACGATCGTTGTCTTTGCAACGCATTTTAAACCGCGGTTCGGCCAGCCAACGTCTATAGGCCGTTCTGTTGATAAACGTCGTTTAACGTAAAGTCTGTCTCTGCAATCGGCTGCCAGTGTTCGGGGGTACGAAGACCGCTCGGCCACCGGTGGGCGCGTCCGGAAACTTACCGAAGAGGACGCCAAAAGGAGGCCACGCGCCTTACGAAATGTTTAAGCATCCGAAGTAGCGGGCTCAAGTGTAGGTCATTTGATATCATCATTTATCACATACTTCCATGACACTCTTGTCTGTCGGCTACAACTGCCAAGAATTAACGCGATTGGCGAAGCGTAGTGACAGCGGGATCCTTGCCATAATGCGGTTTGCGCGCCAATTTTCGTACGTGCGTTAATCGAGCCGAATAGTTTGGCCGAATATTCGGCTATTCGGCCACGCTCCTGGCCGGATATTCGGTATTCGGCCTGAGGCCGAATATACTATTCGTTACAACACTATTATTTACGTCTCCACCCCGGGATAACGTATATTTTCGCCGGCATCCGTAATTCCCAGCCTACTCGACGTCGTTAGCGCCAGACACGGCGCGGTGTGGATATTTCCAAAAGGTGCAAAACGTAACAAATATTCGATTTAAAAAATTAATCCGAAAAATGTTAAACTTTTAAGTCGAAAGTTTTGTCGTTTTAAAAAATTCCCGTAATTCGTCGCGAATCGCCTTCGATTTCTCGCCGCGCGAATAATCGGGCGACGGCGGTAAACGGAGAGCCGGCATTCGACTCTCGGGCCGTCCCGTCGCCCGACACTCCGGAAAATGACCCCGTCTTTAATATTTGGATTTAAATTACCGAGGGGGAAAATCCGGTCCCCGTCGTAAAACGTTTCGCCCGGTCGTTTATCGGCGCGATTTTTCCCGGGCCTTTAATACAAAGGAAAGTACGGAAGACGTTTTAATAAAATGTTTATTGACTTTACAAAAAAGAGATACATTTTAAGTCGGCAAAGTTAATGAACCGAATAGAATTTTTAAAGCCCGTTTAGCCGGAGGGAGGGTTGGCCAATTTTTACACGAAAATACCCGGTAAAGTTTGTTTACCTACCTATTTGTTAATAACTACGTTCGAACCGACTTATAAATAATAAATATTACTGTACTTAATTTACCGATTAATACCATTATTTCCGGCCCGCGTGTTTAAAAGATTTTACTTAATAATTTCCAATCTCCGGAGACGTTTACTTTTCCCTGTCGATACGCGTCGACGGGCGAGATCTTCCCGGACAGCAAATCCTGCAGATCCTCCCGGGACACGGAGACGACCACGTCGCTCCCGACTTCGTCTTCGGCTTCTCTTATTTCCACCGACCCTGCGAGATTTAAAAAGCGCCCGTCAAAACGATCGTCTTTCCCTCTCTTCGTCCGCCTTACCGTTGTCCACCGAACAGTACACCACTTCCTCTTCCACTCGAAACTCCAACGTGGCTTTGACGTTTTTCAACGGTCCCTTTTCCACCGCCTTCTTCGCCGACGCCGCCACCGCCTCCGACAGAGTGTCGCCGTTTCTCCTCGTCAATTTCGCAAGTTCTGAAAAAAGAAATTTCATCCGCCATAAATTCCCCCAACGACGTACGCTGGATTCGACCGCCCGAGCAGAAAAACCCTTTAAATTTGCCTGGAAAAATATGCGGTACGAATTTGGCGTTAGCCTCGATTGTCCCTCGGCATCGGAATTTTGTAGTGAATGGGGCGATACTACGTAACGGTTTTACTGAAGGGGGCGATACTACATCGAAAGGGCGGCGATTCGTCAGAGGTTGAGAAACACTGATCTAGAAAACAGGTCGAGTAACTTGTTTCTAATCGCTGTCTACATTATGGCGGGCGAGAAACGCCGCCTCTGCAATGAACTTTTTCTGAACAGCGGTCTACCCGAAATGTAAACCGCCGTCGGTCTCTGAACGTTGACTTTGCAATCGGCCGATAGAGATTTCCTTGGACGAGAACACGGATCCAAACGGGAATCGAGGTTCAACTCCCGTCACTGGAGAAGTTGTTATTTATTAGGTGTAGGTGTACACCAAATCCCCGGGGTGCCGATACCGGTCAATGTCAAATACCTCTTTCGTCGCATCGCTAGTATACTTCAAAGAACGCGACAGGGTTGTAAATTTTAAACGTTTCTCGCCATAGCTGTAAAAATCTAAATACGTTAAACTTAATAAATGGTCCGTCGTTTGTTTTTAACTAATTCGTTCTAGGACCGGGTGGTGTCCACAAAAATTTCCAAAATTTACTTTTCGGTCACTCTCATTAAACTAAAAAAATTTCTTTCTTTATTACATCTAACATTACCAAGAATTCAGTCCCCACCGTACTCGGCTAGTGATTGGTACGGTTAAGCTTTTGTTTAAATAATCCGGCTCTTTCGGCAGGGTTTTATTTTGTCCCTAATTCCCTAATCTCTTAATTATTTAACTACTTGTTAAGTAGAAATAAGTCGAAACCGGTTACTTCGTACTCGAATATTTGTAGTCTCGAGGTAAAAAGTGGAAAGACAAATTCTTACGACAACGGATACGTAAATCGTAAATGTAAGGAAAATAAATTCTAGAGCTTTTTCCGTACCTGATGCATCTCTCTCGTTCGTTAAATTTAGTCGTAAACGACGCTGTCGAAGTAACGGTTCATTTTTTAACATCGTACAAGAATTGTACACGTTTTTTCTATATCTCCTTAAAGACGGGACGTATGAAATCGTAATATCACCGGTTTAACGTCGAAATCCGCGAGTAATATGAAATCGGAGAGCGGAATAAAATTATCAAATATTTTAATGGATTTTTTTAAACTCCCGTCAACTGTACTGAACTATGGTAAAAACGTACCGGTAAATTCTTATCGGTCGGGTTAAGTTGTAAATCTACTCGCGATTGGCGTAATCGGGCGAGGGCGACCCGGAACCGGTCCCGGATAGAATCGGATGCGGTATACGACGCGTAGCGTCCACCCGAGGGCCTAGGCTTCCGGCGGCTAAACCGGGAGAGGTCGGTGCTCCGTAAAGCGCGTGCGCGAATCTGGCTTTTCGCATGCCGACGATACGGCGCTTCCGTCCGAAAGTAATATTCGAATATACGATAGCCATCTTATCTTTTTTCCACGTGTAGTATAGAAATTTGTAATAAGATACGTAATGCGGTTATAATAAAATATTGCGCCATTATTTTCGTATAATTAAAATTAATATGTATTTATTTCTTAGAAAATACGTGGGAAGCGGCGCATCCATCTCTCCCGACGACGGCACGCCGCTGGTATGTAACAAAAATTCAGATTAATCAAATTAAAAATGGAAAAAACTACTTTAAATAAAAAAGAAACATGGTCTGAAATTGAAAAAAACTACTGAAACGGTTGCAAATAATACAATAAACGTGGATCAACTGTTTGATGAAGTAGTGATTGCAAAAGCTATGAAATCTGGAAAAATACAAGTTGTGAAGAAAAATGGATACAACTTTTCAGTCATTTCAAAGAAAAGAACATTTCATTGGCCAATCTTATTCAAATTATAGAATACATTTTCGGCATGCCAGGCACATCTGCACCAGTCGAAAGAGTATTCTCAATAATGAATATCGTATGGTGTTAAGAAAGAGACAGAATGGCTGAATCAACCGTAAAAGCTTTACTACGCTGCAAAATTAACAGTGAACTAAATTGCAGCAAATTCGATGCCATTAAAAATAACAAGGGAATTTTTAAAGTTCACACTAGTGATAAATATTAATAACTTCTTAATAATAAGGTATGTTCAGTTAAGTTATTAAAAACTGCTTTTAACTCATTGCTGTTTTTTGTTGACAACTTCTTTACTTAGCCTTTTTAATCATAGATACTTACGCTACTAGACTTTATTTTCTGTTGCGAGTATTTTCTCAAAATTGTCTCGGTTTGAGAAAAAAAATTATTATAGCACACCTATTGAAATTACTCTGTGTTCCGCTACAATAAGAAAAGGAAATGTCAATCATCATCGAGTGGTGCCGGTCATATAACAACTACATCTGGTGAAGTTCTAAGTGCTTCAATCACTCCACAATATGTATAAAAAGAAAATCAAAATCAGAATAATATTTTTTTGATAATTTACATCTGATTGAATTTTGGACGCTGTGTAACAATAAAAAAATTCTAATAGAAACTTATAAAACAAATTTTAAAAATGGACAGTTAAGTTATAACAGATGTTATTCTGAATTATTAGCGGCTGGTTTAAACGTCCATACTACAGAAAGTGGATGTCTTATAAGTTAGGATATAATCTTGAAAAATTTGCATATTATTCATTTCAATTTGTCTAATCATCCTACCAACATTGCTAATTTAAGATTAGAATTTAACTGAAGATTAGGATCGAATCCATGGTAAACCATACAGATTTTATTTCATAGTGAATGAAAAATGAAAAGGATTGGTTTTATATGGCTAAAAATGAAAATGAATTTAAAATTTTGAAGACTAGGATTTTCGAGTTAATAAATGAATTGGTATCCTTTTGGTTCTCAGAATGAAAAACTTGGAATTGGATTTAAATTAACTGACAGTGGTAATTATGATATAGAAGAAAAAAAATTTAAAAACAAAGTCCTATAGATAATCGAGATGTAACGACTAAGCAGTATGTTTTAGAAAAATTGCATAAAAATCATCAAATTATTAAACAGTTGATTGAAAGAAACAAATCAGAAATAGATCAGAATTTTATGAAATATGTTCACATAACAAATCAAATAAATGATTTACCCATTAATAAAATCTCAATGAGGTTACCATAGATGTTAAAAAAATATATAAAAGATTTAGCTAATCCTAAAGGGCATAAAAATGCAGTTAATAGAATATATGTTGATAAAAATTTAAAATAAATGCTAAGAAAAAAGATAATATACTACAAAGAGATAATGATGGATTAGATGTTCCTAAGATGAACTTTTTGCAACTATCAAAGATGATTTTAAAAACTAAAACAGGTGATTTTAAAATCCACCTGTTTTACAGTTTTTAAAATCATCTTTGATAGTTGCAAAAAGTTAAAATGTTGAATTTAAAAAATTTTCTAGCCATTTTTTAACTCATGATATGAAAGTAGAATGTAATATGGAAATAAAAAGCATTATGTATTTGAAAATGCAATCTAATGTGTATCCAATTACACATCTGCTTATAAATGGTGATGTTATTTTTTCTGATATTCTCTCTCCCAAGAAAAAAAAAGTGATACAATCATTACAAAAGGTAAAAAGAAGATGAATTAATGTAGATGTTATGCCTAGTGGTGGTGATAATAGCTTGAAACCTTGTCTAGAAATCATAGAAATTAGTTACCTATAAATGGAAGTAAATTGATATGAATTCTCTAAAAATAATATATCTTTTGATGTGATTAAAAGTCTAAACGGACATCCTAATTGGAAATTAATTTGTCAGTATTCAAAACTAACAGAAGATTATCTTGAATGAAATGTATTATCTCAATAAATAACACTTTCAGAAACAGAAAAATATACTAATGAAATAAATTGGGATAAAATATCAAAGATAACAGAAGATTTCATTCTGAAACATGAAACAAAATAAATTGGTATTTAATTTCACAATACAGTGGACCCTTGCTTAACGAGCACCTCTCGTAATGAGCAAAACAAATTGTATAAAAATGGCTCGCTTAACAAGCGACATTTCGCATAATGAGTGACGAGAAGGGAAGTCCTGGATTGTGTGCATGATACGTCAGTCTGTGTTTAGCACTCGTTCCACTACCATCTTAGTGTTGCTTATGATCACACATTTTTCCAAACTTGTATTCAGAAATATTACATACTAGCTGCAAGGACCCGCTTCGCTGGGTTTTTATTTGTTCGTACATTTGTATGTAATATAGTTTTGTTTCTTATATATAAAAGACTGTTTTTCTAAGTCAGTGTATTTCAACCTTCTTGAATACGCAACCCCTTTACAAGTTAAAAAATTCTGGCGACCCCCATGGCCATATTAAAACTATGTCAGTGATTTTTTAAAAACTACGTATTTAATTTTCTTTCTGTTGAGATTTAAATAGCGATAAAAAAAACTAATTGTACTGTAAAATAAACAGGCACAGCCTTCTCACTGAAATTGTAGTTTTTTTATTGTAGTATAGGACCAACAAACACTTGTCTTTTTCTTTTACCCGCGACCCCCGTGTATGGCTTTACGACCCACAGGTTGAAAAACACTGTTCTAACTAATCTAGAATCCAGCTGCAAGGACCTGCTTTGCTGGGTTTTTATTTGTGGGCAAAAAAGTAACGTTAGTGAAGATTAAGATAATTACATTATAACCAATCTTACCCGTTTTCACAGAATGCAAGAATTAGGTCCCCCGTTTCCAGACTAATTAGAGACCTGGTCCCGATTCTATTTCTGAACGTCTCCTGTTCACGTCCAGTCAAACAAACTCTTTTCAACATTTCTGGAACGTTTACAATCGTTCTATAATCGAACCAATATTCGAATTTTATGTACGAATTCAAATTCGAATATTGTTCGAATTAAATTCGAACATAAAATTCGAAATGGAAAACCACTTTCAGCCCCATATCTCCCGCACCCTTATAGCTATCGAGACGCAACCACCATAGTGCACCAATGGAGACTTGGGGCTCAGTGGCGAGCAGTCATTGGAAGCGGTGGATGCGCCACTTCCCTTGTATTTTCTAAAAAATAAATACATATTCATTTTAATTATATGAAAATAATCGCGCAATATTTTATTATAACCACATTATATAGCTTATTACAAATTTCTATACTACACGTGAAAAAAAATAAGATCGCTATTGTATATTCGAATATTAGTGGCGGAGTGGAAGCGCCGTATCGTCGGCATCCAAAAACCCAGATTCGCGCACGCGCTTTACGGAGCACCAACCTCACCTAGTTTAGCCGGTGGAAGCCTACGACCTCGGGTGAGTGCTACACGCATACCGCATCCAATTCTATCCGGGACCGGTTCTGGGCCGTTAGCCCCCCGCCCACTAGATATTTGGCCGCCCACGCCCGATTACGTGAATCGCGAGTAGATTTATAACTTAACCCAACCGATAAGAATTTACTGGTATGTTTTTATGATGATTCTGTATAGTTGACAAAATTTTAAAAAAATCCATTAAAATATTGATATATTTATTTTGCTTTTATTCCGCACTCCGATTTTATATTACTCACAGATTTCAATGTTAAACCAGTGATATTACGATTTCGTATGTCCCATCTATAAGGGGATGTAGAAAAAAACGTGTACAATTCTTGTACAGTGTTAAAAAAATTAACTGTTGCTTTGGTAGCATCGTTTACGACTAAATTTAATGAATGGGAGAGTTGCACCAGGTACAGAAAAAGCTCTAGAACTTATTTTTCTTAAATTTACGATTTATATATCCGTTGTCATAAAAATTTGTCTTTCCACTTTTTTCCCGAGACTACAAATGTTCGAGTACAAAGTAACCGGTTTCTACTTATTTCTATTTAAGAAATAGTTAAATAATTAAGCAATTAAGGACGTAAATAAAACCCTGACGAGAGCCAAAATTTTACTTATACAGAAGCTTAACCGAACCAATAGCCGAGTACAGAGGGGACTGATTTCTTCGCAATATTAGATGTAATAAAGAGAGAAATTTTTCCAGTTCAATGACAGTGACCGAAAAGTTGTAAATTTTGAAAATTTCTGTGGTCCTAAAACGAATTAGTTAGAAAACAAACGACGGACAATCTATTAAATTTAACGTATTTAGATTTTTACAGCTATGGTGAGAAACGTTTAAAATTTATAACAACCCTGTCGCGTCCTTTGAGGTATACTAGTAATGTGGCAAAAGAGGCATTTGACATTGACCGGTATCGGCACCCTAAAGATTTGGCAGCCCGCGTGCATGCACCTACCAGGACCGTCTCTGATTCCATCCATAGGCACTCGTAGGGAGCTATTTGAATAAGTGGATTGTTTTAAGATTTAAAAAGTAAAGAAGATTTTATGTTATTTTTATGTACGTTTCT